AAACACTAAACCTTGTCATCCAGGCGCCGAGTCTGGGGCTTTGGAGCGAGGCCAGAGCAGTTTCCTTGTTGTTGCAGAGGTGGGGGACATCCTTGGAGGAAGGAGGGACCGGACCTGGGCTGGGGAAATGTGGTGGGATTGCTGGGGTGGGGGAGGGGGGTGTCCATGACCATTTGAGGAGGAGGAACCTGCCTGAGTGCAGTTATGGCACTGGACCCGGGTAGGGGCATCTGGTGGCAAGGAGCCCGGCAGCCGTGCCCAGATGGGCAAGGGGCGCTGGGTCACGAGCTGCTGGACTGTCTTCAGGCCTGCAGGCGGGGCTGCCCGACTTTGGCGAGGTGGTTGACTGAGCTCATTCCTGGGCCCCTCGCTGCAGAGGCTGGGATAGGATCCGTCTGGAGCGAAACCCTGGAATCTGCATTTTAACTGGCAACTCAGGTGATGGGGATGCAGGTGACGACGTTTGGAGACTTGCTGGTGCAGACGAGCAGGGAACTGCGAGGCGCTGAACTGGAACCGAGGCTGTAGCCACAGTGCTGGAGGCGGGGTCAGCTGTGGGGGTTGGGGTCGGGGGCCTGATGGGGAGGCTCTTGGAGGGGCTCAGCTGCCATGGGGCAGGAGGCCAGCAAGGAGGGATGGATCAAGACACGGATCCAGAGGAGGGACCATTTCTAGGGCTTCGCTACTCAAAGTGCGCTCCATGGGCCAGCAGCGTCACGTGCCCTGGGAGCTCCTTAGAAGTTGGCATCCCAGCCTCCCCCAGGCCTGTGGCGTCAGGACCTGGCTTTTGCTAAGATCTGAGAAGCTCTGTGCTAGACCTTGCCTTTCGATGTTCGCGTAAAATACTTGAACAGAAAGGGGAGGGTGGCCCGTTCCATGAACACAGGTAAATGTACACAGAAGGTGCCAAGGCCGTTCTCACAGCACCAGAGGCTAAGCGCCTCTCGGTCATGGGAGGTCAGAGGTCAGGGGAGGACAAGCCCCACCCAGGACGGAGTCCTGGCTCCCAGCTCTGACCGCTCTCGGTTGCAGGGTCGGAGCTGGGGGTCAGGAACCTGCCTGCCCCGCCGTGTATGACATTGAGGCAAGTTGTTTAACCTCTCTGAGACTGTTTCCCCATCAGCAAGTGGGGCGAGGAACAGAGCTCACCTCCCATGGGGAGATGGCGAGACAACGTGAGGGTGTGACAGCCTGGGACACATGCTGTCAGGTCTCCGTGGTCATTGCTGTCGCGTCCACAGACTAGCCCCATTTTATCCTGTTTCCTTCATGTACGTTATCTAGTTTGGTTAAATGTCTGTGAGCTCACGCAGTCCCGGGGGCTCGGATCATACTGTGGTGGGCCCCAGCCAAGAACATGGTGTGTGCAAGGCTGTCAGAGTCATCACCATCAGGGGCGCCAGCGCGTGGCCTGAGAAGGGGCAGCTTCCAGCCCTTCTGTGCCCGGAGACTTTCAGATTTGCTGACGAGACCCGTGGATTCCGAGGGGTGTGACGTCTGCGCTGGTTACTTGGGAAGCGTGTGTACAAGGTGTGTGCTCATCCTCCTGACCCCACCGCGGTGGGCATTGGTCATGGTTTCTGGGGGGATTCGGCAACACCATCACCACAAACCCCAACGACTGGAGGGCGTGGGTCTTTGTCACGACCACCGCTAATTAGCTGTGTGACCGTCCGCTGTGGGTAGACTGGCCCATAAACGGTCTGAGAACTGTGAGGACTGGCCGTGGTGGGTCCTTGGTGACACGTATGTTGCTTCAGCCATGTTATCCCTCAGTGGCCCTGAGTGGGCAGCATGAGGCCTCTTGTACGTGTGAGGGAACGGGAGGTCATACATATGGGGTGACTGCAGGACCTGATATCCTGCGGCCAGAACCCGGGCCCATCTGACGTGGAGCCCCTGGGTTGGGTGCCTCCCAGCCTCTCGTTGTGGCATGTGTCCCTGTTCCTCTTCCCTGGGCGAGGGGTGCCCTCGAGTCTCCTCTGGGAGGTGAGGAGGCAGGAGGACTCAGTGGGTCTGGAGCTTGCCCGCTGCCCACGAGGAGGGTCTTTGTCCACTGGCCGGCGAGGGGGTCTGCCTCTGCTGAAGAGCTGTCGGAGCACCTGCCCGCGCGTGGCCACCTGACGCTGGCTCTGCACGCGGGGCTCACGGAGGATGGGGGAGGAGAATAGGCCCAGTGTTGACTTGGCACTTCGGGTGTCCACCCCACCTTCCCGTCTGCTGCTCTGAGTGGGGCTCCTGTGGGGACGGGGGGCTGTGGTTTCCCCGAGCAGTGGAAGGCAGCCGGCATAGGGCAGCCTGTTTAGCTCTGGGGAAAGGATGCTCAGAACATTTTGGTCTCAAGTCAGCAAGCGGAAAGGGGCTTCGAGATGGCAGCATAGCAGGCAGGGGATCCGCCCGTTCTTGCAAGGTCATCAGCCCCTGAACTGCAGAGCTGACTATAGTTTGTTTTAAGTTTTCATCCATTTGCGTGTCTCCAGGAAAACCCACTCAGCAGCAGTGGGGTGCCTGCCCCAGTGGGCTTGGCTCCAGGTGTAACAGAGTGGAAGAGGCTCGTCCAGGTTTTACTAATCATTGCTGGTTATCAAGGGGTGTGAACCAACGGCTCCGAGCCCAGAAATAGATCTTGGGGTGTGGTTTGTCCCATTCTCTCCTGGTACCTTCTAAGACAGACAAAGGGACGTTCACAGCTGCTCAGATCTCTCCCCACCTGTTTGGACACTTCTGTGGCCATTCCCAGGGGTGGGAAAAGCTCGGTCTTTTGGCGTTTGAAATCCAGATTCTAACCCGTCTCAGTGTGAGCTGGGGATTCATTCACTTCCTCTGCGCTTCCATTGCTTTGTGTGGCACATGCTTCCGCCTCTCTCAGGCGTATATTACTCGGGAGTGGAATTGCTGGGTTACACATAACTCTACCTTTAAAAAAAAACTGCCAAACTCATTTCCAAAGTGGCCGCACCACTTTGCAGTCCCACCACCTGTGCGTGAGGGCTCCAATTTCTCCATGTCCTCACCAACGCTTTGTCAGTGTAATTGTCATGTTGGCCGTCCTAGTGGGGGTGAAGTGGTGTCTCATCTTAGCTTCACTTTGCATCTCCCTGACGACCGGTGACATTGAATGTCTTTCCCTGCTTTGTCAGCCGTACACATACCTTCTTCAGCGAAAGTCTATTTCAAACTTTTGTCCATTTTTTAAATTGGCTGCTTTGTCTTGAATTGAGTTGTAGGAGTTGTTTATATATTTTTGGAGTCAAGTCTTTTGTTGCATAGATGATTTGCAGGTATTTCCTTCCAGTCTCTGCTGTGTGTTTTCACTTAGTAACGATGTATTTTGAAGCACAAAGGTTTTTAGTGTTGATGATGCCCAGTGTATCCATTTCTTCTATTGCTTGGCTTTTGGTATTGCATCTAAGAAATCTTTGCCTACCCCAAGGTCATGAAGATACACTTCTGTTTCCTAATAGGTAGCTATTATTTTTGACCTTCTGTTAAGGTCTGAGTTAATTTTGAGTTAATTTTTTGCATGTGGTGTATAATTTTGTATATGATGAGATGAGGGACTACATTCATCTTTTTTTTGCATGTGGTTATCCAATCGTCCCGGCACTATTTGTTGGGGGAAAAAAATTCCTACTTTCCCCACTGAATTGCCGTTGACACCTTTTGCCAGAAATCTCAGTCATGATGTTTAATGTGCTTACTTTCTCTTTCCTCTTGTTCATGATGGTGATGTGCAGACTGGTAGACTATACTATGAACCACTGTTCTACGTGTATAACTGCATGGTTAAGTTTACCAAAAGCCGGCAGCAGTGTGACCAGCCGAGGTTGGTCAGTCACTGTGGTTGACCCCAGTGGCAGAGGGCCTGTCTCTGCCACCTGCCATTCATGTGACCCAGGCCCAGGTTCTTCTTAATCACTTCCTGCCTCAGTTTCCCCACCTGTGAACCCCAGGTGATCATAGCTCCTTACCTCTGTCTGAGGTTACTGTGAAGACACTGCTGGAGGGGAGCTGCATGATTAACAGCAGTTCCGTACCTGATGTGCTGTTTGTGACTGTCACCAGTACTCTGGGCTCCAGGTGCTCAGCCTGGCTCCGCACAGACTGAAACGAAAGCCAGGAAGGGGCAGCAAAGAGGCGCCCCGTACAGACTGCAGCTGTCCAGGATGCAGCACCCGTAGCCCACAGTCTGGCTGCAAGTAGCAGTAGATGTGACTCTGTACTGTCTGGTGTAAACACACCTCCTTCCTGAGGCGGGCGTGTCAGCGCTCGTGTGCCCTCCTGATGCCAGAGCCCTCCTCTGATAATTACAGGAGGAAAGAGCTGGAAATCATGAAAAAGAAATAACAGCAGCTTATCTGCTCCTCTAATGG